AAAATATTTTTCATTTTCCATGAAAAAACTATCCAATCAAATAGGTCCTAACTAATATTTTCTCATCAAGTACTATATGTGATTTTCTCGGTGATAATATTTACACGTCAGCAACCAATGATGCAAGCATTATCGTAATTGCCTTCTGCATTATGACACTCGTCAAATATTAGAATATTTATCTTGTCAAGATTAAAAAAATTTATGACTCAAGGCGTTACGTTGGTGTCATTACAAGCACCTTTAAATATTTTGGTCTTGAAATATTTTATGATATACTCCATCTTAGCTCTTTTATTATATAATCCAAAGTTTTCTTGTCTCCAAATTTACTTATTTGAGTTATTTCTATCCAATATTAGTATAAAATATATTATTCTACATCTTTCTTCCATATATTTTTTCAAATGTGAGTCAACCAATTCTACTTCTAGATGCTCCATGGCATTGATAGAGATAACTGAGATGATGAGACTCTCCGAAGTGATATCTTGTTCGTATATAATGTAAACCGCCTATATTTAAAGTAGCTGTTTCCAAGCTTGAAAAGAGAAAGAGGGTTTCAATTTTTAGAATTTTTAAAAAAGAGACAACTTGTAGATAGCTTTGTTCGTCTATAGGGCCAAGCTGAGTTAGGGTGTCTAAGGGCAGAGACGAGCCCCTAGTTTGGTGCTAGTGTGGCGTAGGGAGATATTAATTTTTGCCCTATTTCCTTTATATTTAATTTCATTAAAACAATGTACGACATACTTTGCACGTGATATTTTAGTAAAAATTTCGACACTTTTCTTCTTTCAAGAGTATTTGTGCAACAAGTTGTGAAGTTGAGGATAAAAAGTATCAATTTAAAGGTGGGGATCAACTTACTAAATAGGCCATAGATTGAGGACCATTTTCCAAAATGTTATAAAACATGTTGACATAAAAAATCCACCTATAGTCAAATATGCAACTCCAATTTATAAACAAGACTTTGTTTGTTGTTTGTTCATATAATCTTCTCACATTAAAAAATTATCTCTCATAGTATTAATAGTTTCAAGAGAAGCATATTTTCTCCAAAAAATTCTACATCTTGTCGTAGAGAAAAGCCAAGTTGTCAATAGTCAGTAACTATAACAAGACCATAAATTGTGACATGCAATACACAACTCCAATGTAGTAAATAGATGAACAAAACATCCATAGTTAAGAGACAACATAGTATCAAATACTGTCATACAATTTACAATTCAAGAAGACACTAAATTATTGCTCCCACTTCTTTCAGAAATGCTATCAAACTCACTACTAAATAGGCTTCCACTGGTAGCTGATGTATTTATATTTGCAGATTCTGAAGCAGCAAAAGGATTTGGTGGCATGACCGGCATGTTTTCGCCTTTGAGCATTTGAATCACGACCTTCATTGAAGGTCGATCGGTTGGATACCACTGGATACACCAGAGCCCAACAATTATTAGTCTTTTTGCTATTTTAGTATCCTCCTCTCTCTCAATTTGGATTTCTATATCTTCTCCTTTATCTAGTTGATTGTACATCCATTCTGGAAAATAAACTTGGCTACTGTCAGCTGCTCTGGCATGGAAGTTCTTCCTTCCTCCGACGAGGTCAAGTAACAACATTCCAAAACTGTAAATGTCTGATTTATACGACACGTTCCCAAAGTTCCTAGAGAAGACCTCTGGTGCAATGTAGCCTATTGTCCCGCGGGCTGCAGTCATGGTTACTACGCTTTGATCCTTCGAACACATTTTTGCTAAACCAAAATCAGCCACTTTGGGACTGAGGTTATGGTCTAGCAAGATGTTATGTGGTTTGATATCGAAATGGAGGATCCTTTGGTTGCAGCCTTGATGAAGATAGTTGATTCCTTTGGCTATTCCGAGAGCAATTTTGTGCAACTTCTCCCATCCAAGGGTTCGACTTTGATTTCCTGATGATATGAACTTATCGAGAGAATCATTAGGTAAGAATTCGTATACAAGAGCGCGTCTATATCCATCTGCACAATATCCCACCAGACGAACCACATTCACATGGTGGATTTTTCCTATTGTATTCACTTCATTGATAAATTCATCGCCATTTCCCTTGATGTTATTCAAAACCTTTACAGCTACAAGAATGTCATTCGAGAGCTTCCCTTTGAACACTGTACCGTAACCTCCTTTTCCTAGTTTGGACCTAAATCCGTTTGTAATTTTCTTGATATCAGCATAAGAGTATCTTGCAGGCCTAAGAGCTTTATAATCCTCTAAAAATTGTTCAATCCTTCTATTCTCATTTCTTTTCTTTAACCTATAGAAGCCATACAATGCAACGACAACTAGTACGAATGAAAACAAACCAATCGATACACCCAAATTAACCCTCTTTTTTGAGGCACCTGCAAGAGAAAACAATGCACTTTTTTAGCCTATCGGATCTCTTAAATTCCCACAAAAATCAAGAAAGTGATATATAGCGGAATAAATAGGAAAGCAGAAAGGCCTAATCTGCAGTGCAGAAATATATAAGAGATAGAAAACCTCGTACCTCTGTCATTTTCAGGCTGTTTGGGGATCTCAAAACATTCAGTTTCGTTATTCATTCCATTGTTCTTGAACCTGCATTGTTTTCCCGTTGCTTCACAATTTCCGCAAAATGGTGTCGACCAATGCAGTTGAGTATCATCAGTTAAATATTCAGACAGCCCCCGAAAAATTACTTCCGAGACATCTGAAATGTTGTACATCTTCACACAACTCGACAGAGAAAAATCTGTAACCGAATAATATGATCTGAAGGCATATACTTGATACTTTGAGCTGCCCAGGCAAGTGATCGGGCCGGAATAGGAGTTAGCATCCGGCTTTGCAGAACAATTGAAAAGAGTATAGCCACTAGCATCCACATTATACTGATAAAACATCTCGAAAGGAGATGCTGTGGAGTTGAAAACAGGAACCTGTTTTGGTAGACACGAGCCATTGAGGACAGAAACATGTATAACTTGAAGTTTGTAATCGATTACTTGGACAGAAGCTTTGGCTGATAATGGAATCACAATTTTGTTGGTCGAGGCCTTAACCGGAAATTGGAACTCAAACTCCGTGATGTTGTTGATGGGATTGCACGAAAGATCGAAGCCCGGGTAGCCACAGTGTTCAGGTTGTCGGCCTTTTATGCGAAACGGGAACCGGATAACAGGGCCGGAATCGAGGCACCTTGTTGGCTGGCAATCATCTTGAGCTGCAACAAGTATTGTTTGTAAGAAATATACTAAATAGAACAAGAAAATCATCATCTTCTGAGAGAACACGCTATCTGAAATCTGTAATCAATAAATCTTCTTTTTTCCTTGCAAGTTTCTAAGAGCAAAGAACTAGCTGTTTTCCTTTATTTCATCCACTGGTATTTGATCTAGTCTTTACAAGTTGGACTAATATTATTCATGATATTATACATATTCCAGTCTACGTTCTTATCAGCCAAATTTGACTTTGAAAAATTATGCTCTAGGTAGTTGGTCATACAAGACTGCATTTTCACACTACCACTCTACTCTACAGTCAGTACTGTCCCCACGTCACATGTTAGACTAAGAACTTGTTTGGCTAAGCTTATAAAGTAGTTTGTTTATGAGTGTACGAGTTGCAAAATAAGTAATTCTTTTATTAATCAAAAAATTTAAACAAAGTAAGTTACTTTTTTTCAAGAGGAAGGTAAGAAAGTAACTTATCTACTTAAAAGTTGAAACTATGAACATTTCAAATCCAGACATATTTGGAAACAAAATAATTACTTAAATGACTTTCATTTTAGTTAAGCTTAGCCAAACATGCCCTTAGAACTATTAAGATAGTCGACCTTGTCTCATCCCACTTGAGACTGAACAGCTATTCAACCAAGAAAAATCAAATCAATGGGAAGAACAAGAAATGGTCAAATCTTATCTCTTTCTTGCCATAGTCAGCTCGAATACGATATTGGGTTGGTTAAATTTCCTGTTTTAGTTTAGAACTTGAGAAATCAAGCCAAATTCAGTTTATCAAAATAAAATTTTCCCTTATTTTTTTGCCGGACTTGATCACCGGAAATTCAAAAAACTTCCCGCCGGTATCCCATTATTCTCGAACAGTAAATTTCAGGTAACCTCATTTACTTTTCAAGTTTCCAAAGAATTAACAAATTACAATTACTGTCTCATAGGGAAAAACTGTCTCTAACTTGTAAATTTTGGCATATCAAACTAATAATTCTATAATTCTTTTTCAATTTATGTGAATTTAAGTTGTTCGTAATGTGTTCTTGTTTGAAACATGATGTATTTTTCATTTTTAACATGGCAAAGATCATTATGCTGTGTAGACAAATAAGAAGAAAATGCTGCAAGAAAGCAACAATTGAGAACTACTTGCAAGAATTCGAGAGGACTGAAGGTCTTAATCTAGAACCATAATCCTAAAGGATTACTCTAAGCATGTCAACAACAAGAATTTGGTTCCTTATTTCCACAATCTCGATTCTCCTTTTGTGTACAACCACCTGCAAAGCCCAGAACAATCCCATTTCACTTTGCTCCTCCTCATCTTGTGAGCATATAAAAAACATAAGATACCCTTTCCGGTTGAAAGGTGACCCCAAGAATTGTGGCTATCCCAACTCCAATTTTGAGCTTGATTGCCAGATCAATAAAACCATATTGAACCTGAAATCTGCAAAATATTATGTCGAAGCAATTGATTACAGTGACTTCTCGATGCGCTTAGTTGATCCTGGCGTAGAAAAGGGCAATCTTTCTTCATGTCCAATTTATTCTACGGACTACGATGATTGGCCTAGCACCATTTTCGATAAGTTCTTTTCCTGGAACATCCCGATCGTCTTTATTCACTGTCTAGCTCCTACAAATTCTTCAATCTACGTAAAAGCTGCCTTCTGTGGTAATAGGAGTAACACTTTCTCCAACTCTTCAGAAAGTTATAGTTATGTTACAGTGGGAGGTTATATTCATCTATCGGATTTGGAGGAATCCTGCACTGTAGACAGGGTGTTTCAGGTCTCATCGCGTAGGATTATGAGAGATAATTCTTCTTTGTTGGGCATTTATGATGGCTTGGCTTATGGGTTTGAGCTTTCGTGGTTCCGTGTTCTTTGTGATGAATGTGTAAAGAGCAATGGCTTTTGCAGTTTAGAAGGCAATCAAATCAGTTGCAAACACTACTGCCGTGAGGATATTCCACTATTAGAACTTGGGTTTGGATGTGAGTGAATATTCTTCTTGATCTTGAACATTTTTTTACTATTTTTTTTCATGTATTGATCATATTCTCTGTCAAGAATTATCCTCCATCTGACCTATTATTATATCTTTCATTAATTTATTAAATTGAATGTGGAGCAATTCTATTAACAATCTTACAATGATTATGTTTCTTTACTAATTCAAGTTGTAAGCTTGGCTTATCATTTGGTCCAACGGTTCATAATCTCATAATTAAGAAACATATGTTCTTATTGCAAATCTTTTCTGATATGAGGTCAATTATTATATGAAACTGTATGTACTTTCATATTCTGCTCAATTAAAAGCATTTTCTTGAATATAGAATTAAGTAAAAGGTCAATGTATAATGATCAAATCATGAAAATTATATGGAACTAACAGATATTATTTATTGTAAAATTGTTGAAACTCAAAATTCTTTAAGACTTGCACATAACCCAATTTCCTCGAACCTGTCAAGTGTTCAACATATCACTTGGTTACTTGTTCATCTTTTAGGCTTTTCAAATTCTAACTGAGGAATTATTCTTCTGTGAAAAGTTCTAGTTTTCTTACCCTTCTTCTACTTTGCACAATGCAGGTCGGTTTCAGTACTATGGAAGTGAGTGTTTATACTGGACTCTGGCTTTTTTATATTAGTAAGCCTTCCCGTAACATTTTTACATATATCTATCCTCAAATCATTTTTTCTTCTGTTTTGCTATTTTGACAGCTATTATTGGAGTTTTTGGTGCAATTATAATTGGTAAGATTCAAATCGCTTACCTATGTTTTCAGATAACAAATAGGAATGATAGGTATTTGTTTGGTCAATCCTGGAAAAAAAATGTTTCCATATTTTCTTCATTCTATAGTTGAGCATACATTTCACTTGTTTCGTCAACCTCTGGCAATGCCCAAGGAAGACTCCATCATCTTATTTTTGCACAATAGGCAGATGGACAATTTGTGTATACAAATGGAGTGTTTATAAATTCGCATGCTCACTGTAGAAAATGAATTCTGGATAGTGGATATTTAAATGTAATTCCTTTTCTTTTTCTTGCAGCTGCTTTCGTAGGTCTGAGATTTTTATGTGGATTTACTTTCCTGGTTGGACTAGTGGTGCATAAATGGAGAAGACGGCATTTATCAATCGATGAGTCCATTGAAGATTTTTTACAAAGTCAGAATAACCTCGTGCCAATAAAATACAGTTACTCTGAGATCAAGAAAATGACAAACAACTTCAAGGACAAATTGGGTGAAGGGGCCTATGGAACTGTGTTCAAGGGAAAGCTTCGAAGTGGTCCTTATGTTGCAGTAAAGACATTAATGGGAAAATCTATGGCTAATGACCAAGAATTTATCAGTGAAGTTGGCACAATTGGCCGGATTCACCATGTACATGTGGTGCAACTCATTGGTTTCTGCGTGGAAGGATCAAAATATGCTTTAGTATATGAATTCATGCCTAAAGGTTCTCTAGATAAATACATTTGTCCTCAAGATGGTAAATCTCTCTCTTTGAGTTATGAAAAGATGTTTGAGATTTCTCTTGGAGTGGCTAGTGGAATCGACTATCTACATCGGGGTTGTGACATGCAAATTCTGCATTTTGATATCAAGCCTCACAACATTCTTTTAGATGAGAATTTCAACCCAAAAATCTCGGACTTTGGGCTTGCAAAATTGTACCCAACTGACGACAGTATTGTACCTCTGACTGCAGCAAGAGGGACAATGGGTTACATGGCGCCAGAGATGTTCTACAAAAATATTGGAGGAGTCTCCTACAAAGCCGATGTTTATAGTTATGGAATGTTGTTAATGGAAATGGCAGGTAGAAGGCAAAATATGAACCCCTTTGCTGATAGCGTAAGCCAAATTTACTTCCCTTCGTGGGTTTATGAGCAATTTAATGCCGGAAAGGACATAGAATTAAAAGACGCCATGGAGAAGGAAAAGAAGATGTTAAAGAAGATGATTTTAGTAGCTTTATGGTGTATACAAATGAAGCCTTCTGATCGTCCTGCGATGAACAAAATTGTTGAGATGCTTGAAGGCGATTCCGAATTGCAGATGCCTCCAAAGCCTTTTGTGGCTCCACGTGAGATAGTGGAAGATCATGGAATAAGTGTTTCTCTCTAGTCTTTTCGCATGGTACTAATAATTGTATCAGTTAGAATGTGAATACAACTTACAAATTTACCAGAGAAACTGATTTGTTAAAGCTTATTCAGTCTTGGAACATGTCTTTGAGGACATTGAGCTTTTCTAAGTAAATATATGGTGCATATTACTGGTTGCTACAATGTTAATATACAAAAAGATCTTACTTCGAAAAATGAGTGATCGCAATAAAGTTTTGTCTTCTCATCGAATAGAAGAAAAGATAATTCTAAACAGGTAAACTGGGAGAAACACAATGTTACATATAACCATTGACAAGAAATCAAATACATAGTGAAATCCAATATTTAAGAAATACTTTCAAGTTCACAGAGGAAAAGGCCTGTTGATTTCGTCAAGGGAGAACATGATAGGCATGTTATCTATTGAACCATTTGAATCCCAACTCTACAGAAAGAATCTCGTTTACCACTGCATAACCTCTTTGGACAAGCACTTCCTTAAAAGTCATTTGTTATCTTCTTAATACCTATACAAGAACATCTTGAACTATGAACCTTGTAATCCACTAACATTGTTCTATACTTTACTGCTCCTCTTTCGTTTCATCAGTCTGGTGATGCAGTACAATCCAACGATAATGAATAGCAGGAGAAAAACACCTGATATTATACCTGTAACCCAAAAACTCCATGTCAAAACTAATTTTTATCTCAAAGTATAACTGAAAGAAGGGGAGACTATTACTTTATCTGCGATGGGTAGTTTTCTTTATGCATCTACACAGATAACAGAATTGTAATTAGATTATGCCATCAATAGGTATGTTAAGCTTTTAGCGCATGTTTGGGACTGGACTCGACTGGACAGTAGACAAGATATGACTTACTTTTATTCTATCAAGTACTCTGTAGTCCACCCACAAAACAAGCCATCAGGGAAGAAGAGACTAGAAAAGTGTTCATGGATGAAGCATTCAGTCTCATCTCCTGTGCTATTAATCTTACGGCCGCAATACTTACATTCTGCTTCACAATGTCCACAAGATGGTTTATTCCAATGACGATAATAGGGACTGTCCCTTGTAAACGGGCTTTCTGGAATATATTAAAATGTTATACATCTTAAAACAAGATGAATACTGGGGCATGGTGTTGATCTCATAAAATGATCCAAAGGCGATTACATGATGATTTTGACTACTAAGGCAAGTAACTGAGTACCCATGAACCGTTGAACAAAGTGAATCCGTAACTATATCCAGATTTTTCTGTATCAAACGGAAGCTTATTCGGAAAGCAAGAT